GTGGGGTGGGTAACAGGGCAGGGGGATGGGAGCGGGGTCCCCTGGGCTGATTTCTGAGCGGGGACTAGGGGACACCAGAGCTGGTGGCCCTCGGCACGCTGGCAGCAGGGACCTCATCGTCTCTCCTGGCCTGGCCTTGGGGTGCAGCACCCCGAGGCTGGTTGTCCCCAGAAAAGCCGGGACCTGTGCACCACGCTCAGCCCGTGGCCCCTCTTAACCGTGTCCCAAAGGACCGGCCGGGGCCGGGCAGCCGGGCTGGGCCAGGACCAGCCAGAGCAGGCTGTGCCCGGGGCTCGCAGGCTGGTATGCAGGTGTGTCTGGGTGAGCCGTCCGGACCCCGGGGCTTCCTCCAGCGCCGCTGGCTCCGGCGGCACCCACTGGGAAACCTCCTGGGAGCCACCGGCACTAGCCAGTAGCCAGGCCATGTGGGTCTGGGGGGGCACAGGTGGCACCTCACCCTCCCAGCTCAGAGACCCACAGCAAAAGAGTTTTTATTGGGGTAGGGGGGTGCTGCCTGAGCCCCCCGGTGTGGTGGGGTCACCTCAGGATGAGGGGAGCCCGCAGGGCTGGGCATGGCGCCGGTCTCAGCTGCTCAGGCAGCGCTGCCCGGACCCTCGGTGGTGTCACGTGTGCCCAGCACGAGCCCTGGCCGGGGGCTTCCTGACGGTCTTGGTCTCGTGGGCCAGTGGTCGCTTCCTGGAGGTTGTGGTGCTCCTCAGCTCCTCATGGCGCAGGGGAGCATCTAGCTGAGGAGCTGTGTTGTATAAAATCCTCCCAAACTGGTGCTGCAGTCCCAGCTCTAGGTACACACGCCACCACCACGACCGAGAGCACCCCAGAGACGACCGTGGATGTCACAACCACCACAGAGTCAACCGTGGCTGACACCACCACCACGGAGACGACCACCGAGATGACCACCCCCATGATCACTGTTCTAAAGATCTTGATCCATAAAAACACGAATGACAACTGGATCCAAACCTCCGTGTCCTCCCACACCACAGTCTCACCTGCTACAGGCAACGCCACAAGCTTCCAGACCAGCAACAGCTCCACAAGCAACAGCACCACGGTGCCCGGTTCTAGCAGTGCCACCCCTTCCCCCACCAATGCCACTGCAAACAGCACCAGCTGGGCCCCCCCCTTGGGCACCAACACCACCACCAGCAGCTCCGCAGCGCCCACCGTGGGGGGTGGCACGGTGATCCCCACCTCCAGCACCAAAGGCAACGGGAGCAGCAGCTCTCAGGTTGTCCCCACACAGAAGACCTCTGTCACCTCTCAGGGCAGTACGGCTCCCAGACAGACCCCCACGGCCGTGCTGGGGGGCAGCGGCAGTCCCAAACCCAGCAAAGCCGCGGCTCTGCTTCCCACCGACGTCCAGCTGCTCCTCCGCGTCCCGCTGTCCTTCCGCATCCTCAACAGGAGCTTCAACGAGAGCCTGCGCGACCCCACGTCGAAGGAGTACAAGAGCCTGAGCTACACCATCTTGAACATGGTGAGTCCCAGCCCTGCCCACGGGCTCCCCGGGCGAGCAAAGACCCCCCGCTCTGTGCTGGGAAGGAGCCGCCTCCCGTTGGGACTCCCCATGAAAGTGCCTCCAGCATCTGCTCTGCGGTTCTGCAAGGGGACCGGAGGGAGGGGGTGTCTGTTGGGGAGGTGACCGTCATCCCCGTGTTTTGTTCCAGTTTGAAAAGGTCTTTGGCTGTGTGAGCTGCATCGGCAGGCGGACCTACAAGGGATGCAGCGAGCTGCGTTTCAGGTGAGCAGGCCGGCGGGTCCCGGCTGAGCGGCGCAGAGCCCCTGGCGCGGGGCGGCGACCCGGGCGCTAACGCTTCCTCTCACGGGCAGCCACGGCTCGGTGGAGGTGCAGTCCACCCTCGTGTTTGGGCACAGCAATGAAACCATCACCAGCGATGTCATTGAGCAGCAGCTGAGGGACAGACTGGACCAGAAAGGCTTCATCATGGACCTGCAGCTGGCCAGCATCTACAGTGAGCGGGAGCTTCGGGCTGGGGGCGCGAGGGCAGGCGGAGACCCGCGGAGGTGCTCTGGGAGGCTCCGTGGTGGTGGGACAGGCTCAGGGCTGGCAGAGCTGATGCAGTTTCCCAGTGCCCGTGGCAGACAGCACTGGGAAGACCAACTGGTCCCCGTTGGTCCCCTTGCACTCTGTCCTGGGGGTCTCTCAGGGCTCTTTGGCTGTTGGGCAGCTCTGCCTGGCGGCGCAGACATGGCTCTGACCCTCTTTCAGGCTCTGGGGAGGTGATGGCGCCGGCACCAGTGCCTGCGGTCCCGGACTGGGCCATTGCTCTGCTGGTCCTGGTCTGCATCCTGCTGCTGCTGAGCATCCTCACCTGCCTTCTGATGGTGAGCGCCCCATCCCCATCCCTGTCCTCACCTGCCTTCTGTGGGTGGGTCCCCTGTCCCCATACCCACGCCATCACCCCCCCCGACCCTTTTGCTCATCCCTCAGACCTCCTGCACCTGCCGCCGGAAAAGCCACGGGAAGCTGGACCTCTTCAGCGCGAAGGACTCCTACCACCCCATGGCCGAGTACCCCCCGTACCAGAGCCACGGGCGCTACGTCTCACCCAACAGCAAACCCAACCCCTACAGCCAGGTGAGAGCCAAGTGCCACCGTCCTTGGGGCTGCTTGCGCCTGGCGTCCTGGGGCCGGGATGGTGCAGGGGAAGGTGCTTTTCGGTGCAGCTGGGCAGGTCCCTTGACCGCTGGGTTAATGGCTAACGGAGCTGGTGAGGCAGAGGATGGTGACCCTGGGAGCCCGCCCCACGCCGGTCCCCTCCCGCTTGGGAGGTGAGAGTAACTTTCATGCCTGGATGGAGCAGCGGCGCCGGCGCTGGCAGACCTGGCCCGGCTTTGGGGACTCCCCATGACCTTGGGCCGCTGCTCCCCGAGCCCGGCCCTGCGCAGCGGGCGGGGGGTTCGCTGCTGGATCACGCTGCCCCTTCTCAGGCTCAGCTGGACCCTCACATCTGCCGGAGTCGGGGCATCTCCTGCCAGGGCTGGGGGGGGCTGATCCCTGTACCCTGCACCCCATATCCCCCACCAGCGGCTCTGAATCCTGCAGGTGCAGCGTTAGGAGCCGCCTGCACACGTGAAGGGGCAC